TCATTGCGACTAAACCCCCACTCCAAAAAATACTACAAGGAATCCTAAAGCCAGAACCTCAGAGGGACGAATAACAACGAAAGAAGACCAAAAAAAAAAAAAGTTATTAAAAGAATAAATAAATAAAATCAAAGGAAAGACAAACATAATGGCAAATACAGATGCTAACATATCAATATTAACTCTAAATGTAAATGGACTAAACTCTTCAATAAAAAGACACAGAGTTGCAGCCTGGATTAAGAAACAAAACCCAACCTTTTGCTGTCTCCAGGAAACACATTTAGCTACAAAAGATAAAAATAGGCTCAAAGTCAAAGGATGGAAAACAATCCTACAAGCAAATGGGCCAAAAAAGAAAGCAGGAACAGCTATACTTATATCAGATAAAACAGACTTCAAACTCAAAAAATAAAAAGAGACCCCAATGGTCACTACACTATGATTAAGGGGACAATACTTCAAGAAGAAATAACACTCATTAACATATACTCACCAAACGAAAGAGCACCAAAATATATCAGACAACTGTTGTCCTCTCTGAAAACAGACATCAGAGAAAACACATACGTAGTGGGAGACTTCAACACACCACTATCAACAATGGATAGATCAACAAGACAAAAAATAAGTAAAGAAACTAAAGCTCTAAATAAGGACCTAGAGCATTTGGGCTTAACAGACATCTATAGAACACTAAACCCAAAAAAAACGGAGTACACATTTTTCTCAAGCGCACACGGATCATTCTCCAGGATCGATCACATACTGGGGCACAAGACAAACATCAACAGATACACCAAGATTGAAATCATACCAACCATCTTTTCTGACCACGAAGGCATCAAACTAGAAATAAATCATAAAAAGAAGGCAAGGAACTATCCTACCTCATGGAGATTAAAAAGCCACACTACTGGAAGACCACTGGACTAACGAGGAGATCAAAGAAGAAATTAAAAAATTCTTTGAATTGAATGACAAGGAGGACACCAATATCCTAAATGTATGGGATGCAGCAAAAGCAGTAATAAGAGGAAAATATATAGCAATAGAAGCTCACATCAAAAAACAAGAAAGAACTCAAAGAAACAACCTAATCTCGAAGCTCAAAGATCTAGAAAAAGAACAACAAAAAACCCCAGAACCAGTAGAAGAAAAGAAATAATAAAAACCAAAGCAGAAATAAATGAAATTGAAACTAAAAAAACAATCCAAAAGATCAATGAAACCAAGAGCTGGTTCTTTGAAAAAATAAATAAAATAGACAAACCCCTAGCCAGGCTCACAAAGGAAAAAAGGGAGAAAGCACAAATACACAGAATCATAAATGAAAGAGGAGAAATCACAACGGACACAGCAGAAATCAAAAGAATAATCAGTAACTACTATGAACAGTTATATGGAAACAAGTTCAACAATCTAGAGGAGATGGACAAATTCCTACAACTCTACAATCACCCAAAGCTAGATAAAGAAGAAATAGAACACCTAAACAGACCAATTACAAGCAGCGAAATTGAAATGGTAATTAAAAACCTCCCCAAAAACAAAAGCCCAGGACCTGATGGATTTACAAATGAATTCTACCAAACATTCAGAGACGAATTAGTGCCTATCCTTCACAAACTCTTCCAAAAAATTGAGAAGGAAGGGACAATACCAAACACGTTCTATGAAGCCAATATTACACTAATACCAAAACCGAATAAGGACAACACAAAAAAGGAAAACTATAGGCCAATCTCCCTAATGAACACTGATGCAAAAATCCTCAATAAAATTTTAGCTATCAGAATCCAACAATGTATCCATAAGATAATTCACCACGACCAAGTTGGATTCATTCCAGGGGCACAAGGATGGTTTAACATCCGAAAATCAATCAACGTTATCCAACACATCAACAAAAAGAAATATAAAAACCATATGATAATATCAATAGATGCTGAGAAAGCTTTCGACAAAGTGCAACACCACATTCATGATAAAAGCCCTTGAAATTCTTGGGATACAAGGAACATACCTCAACATCATAAAGGCCATCTATGACAAGCCAACAGCCAGTATCATTCTCAATGGTGAAAAGCTGAAAGCAATTCCATTAAGATCTGGAACAAGACAAGGATGTCCACTCTCACCACTGCTTTTCAATATAATACTGGAAGTCCTAGCCAGAGCAATAAGACAAGAGAAAGACATCCAAGGAATCCAAATAGGAAAAGAAGAAGTCAAACTATCACTATTTGCAGATGATATGATAATATACATAGAGAACCCCAAAATCTCCACAGAAAAACTAATTCAACTCATCAGTCAGTTCAGTAAAGTGGCAGGATACAAAATCAACACGCAAAAGTCAGTAGCCTTCCTATACACAAACAATAAATCTGAGGAAGAAGAAATCAAAAAAACCACCCCTTTTATTATTGAAACAAAAAAAATCAAATATTTGGGAATAAATCTAACAAAAGAGGTAAAGGACCTATACAAAGAAAACTATAAAACACTGTTAAAAGAAATAGAAGAAGACACAAAGAAATGGAAAGACATCCCCTGCTCATGGATTGGAAGAATAAACATTATTAAAATGGCCATCCTACCAAAAGCAATATACAGATTCAATGCTATTCCAGTCAAAATCTCAATGGCATTCTTCAAAGAAATAGAACAATTATTGATGAAATTCATATGGAATCACCAAAAACCCCGAATAGCCAAAGCTCTACTGAAAAAAAAAGAAGGAAATGGAGGCATCACACTCCCAGACTTCAAACTATACTACAAAGCCATAATCATCAAAACTGCATGGTATTGGAACAAGAACAGACATACAGACCAATGGAATCGAATAGAAAATCCAGAAATAAACCCACAGATTTATGGTCAACTAATCTTTGACAAAGGAGCAAAGACTATGCATTGGAGCAAAGAAAGTTTGTTCAATAAATGGTGCTGGGAAAACTGGGTCGCTACATGCAAAAGAATGAAGCTTGACCACTACCTCACACCATACACAAAAATCAACTCAAAATGGATTAAAGAACTAGACATAAGACCTGAAACCATAAAATACATAGAAGGAAATATAGGCGAAACACTACGGGATTTGCACATCAAAGACATCTTTACAGACACATCACCCAAAGCAGTGATAGTGAAGAAGAAAGATAAACAGCTGGGACTACATCAAATTAAAGAGCTTCTGCACAGCAAAAGAGACAATAACAAAAACAAAGAGAAACCCCACCAACTGGGAGAACATTTTTGCACCCAACACTAATGATAAAGGACTGATCACAAAAATCTGCAAAGAGCTGATGAGACTCAGCAACAACAAAGAAAATAATCCAGTCAAAAAATGGGCAGAAGAGCTAAAAGAAACTTCTCTGAAGAGGAAATGCAAATGGCCAACAGACATATGAAAAAATGTTCAACATCACTTGTAATCAGGGAAATGCAAATCAAAACTACCATGAGATACCATCTCACACCAGTGAGAATGGCACATATTAAAAAAACTAGCAACAACAAATGTTGGCGAGGATGTGGAGAAAAAGGAACTCTTGTGCACTGTTGGTGGGAGTGCAAACTGGTCCAACCACTATGGAGAGCTGTGTGGAGATTTCTGGACCTACTAAACATAGAGCTTCCATATGATCCAGCAATTCCACTCCTAGGTATTTACCCAAAGGACACAGAAACATCAATTCCAAAGAGCACCTGCACTCCTATGTTTATAGCAGCACTGTTTACAATAGCTAAGCTTTGGAAACAACCCAAATGCCCAAAAATAGATGACTGGATCAAGAAGATGTGGTACATATATACCATGGAATATTACTCAGCATTCAAAAAAGATAAACACATGCAATTTGCAGCAACATGGATGGCACTGGAAGGGATCATGCTCAGCGAAATAAGCCAAAAAGAAAAAGAAAATACCGGATGGTCTCACTCATAGCAGGAATCTAGAAAACTTAAATAAGGGACCAGGAAAATGAATATAAGAAAGTGAAAATCAAAATCAACAAAAAAACTATGAACCAGAGACACTTTTTGGGGGGTGGGGGGCGGGAGGGGAAGGATTGGGGTCAGAATGGGGCGTTTGCAATTGTATGGGGGAATATAAAAATAAAATTTAATATTTAAAAAAAAAAAAAAATAAAAACCTGGAAAATATTAATGGTAAATAAAATGACTATAAACTTAAGCTAACCTAAGCTAAAGGATTGGTAGAATTGTCAAAAGGTTTGGAATAGTATCCATCACACAAAGAATATAATAATTTTGAAGAATTGCATTTGATTCAAATGTGAATAACTCCTTAGTCTATATTGGTTGGTTGGTTACTGAGACATGACTGAGAAGGATGATACTTGGGAATTGATGGGCAGCCCATCAATTATAATAAGAATTATTAAGGGATATTGACACAGTTCATGCATGCACTATCTAGTGATGAAATACAGCACCTACTCTAGAACTGAAAAGGTCAGCAAGAGGCATCACAAACGTCTCTAAAAATACATATCTACAGTACTAACTGAATTTAGAATATAATAAAGTACACTTAGATTAATAAAAACATCAGAGGCTCCATTCTTAATCATCAGTTATATTCAATTATATCTGTGACACTGTAAAGATTGAGGTAAAGTTATTGACCATTATGCAAATATACTAGTATCTTGTGTAACTTAAAAAGTCTAAGGTAAGACTCAAGAAAGGCCCAATCTAGAGATGATACAGAGCTAAATTGAGCAGCAGTAGAAGAGTTTCCTGTGTGGTTGCATCCAGAGCTCTCTTACTCTTGAACTCTGTGCTCACCTATCAGAGTCTCTCATAGGAGAGACAAAACCAGAAGTCTGTGTATTTACTTCTTTTCTTATTTTCTTTTCTGGACTCTAGATTGATACCAAGGACTATCAAAATTCTAAATTTCACCTTTAATAAGAGCTAACATCTGCTTCTTCCTAGGATATATATAACGCACTCTTCAAAAGATCGGGTATTTTCTTCTAAAAATCAGGTATTTATAATTCTCCAAATATTCATTATAAATCTCAACATGATTTATTTTTAGAATTTTGATGGGAATTAGACTAAAGAATGCTATATTTATAAATTCAAAGATTGTTATATTAATGTGCATGCATATATATTTTCTCCCAAATCATACACATGTACAATGCATTGGATTTTTAGTAGGTATATATATGTGTACACCTACATGTCTTTATGTGTCATTTGGAAGAAAAGGAGATAACGGTATACATGGAAATTGGGTGATAAGGATGAGAGAGGAATTGGTGAGAAAGGGTTGAAGAAAAGAGAAAAACTCGGGGTGATAGAGTTGTCTTCAAGAAGTTATTTTAATTATTTATTTTTATTATTAGATATAGCATTTGATATCATTTGATATGACATTCTATGAATCTTAGAAATTTTAAGCTATATACAATATGGTTTAGAGAAAAGAAACAAGGAATGCAAAATTCAACTGGGATAAAGATAATTAAATTTCCTATAAGATATTGCTTTTGATTTTGAGAAACTGGATTTCTTTCTTCTAGGAAGAGTAAATACATATCACATGAATTCCATTCAAATTTTCTAAAATATCTTCAACTGACTATTTTTCTAAAATTTATTGAGTTCTAGTAATTTATTAATCTAAACATTAGTTTTGAAGATAAATGTAACTTGTTTTTGTAAAGAAATGGAACAAAAAACTAATGCATGAACAAGATCAGTAAGATGTCAAAGACTTCCTAAGACAATGAGGTGACTAACAAAAGCAAGAAAGAAAAGGTAATTGATAGAATGATGCCAAATAACAAATAATAAGACAAAATAAAGAAGAGTTGGTTATTAGAGGATCTGGGGATTTTATTAAAGAGGGTGAAGTTTGATTCACTGATCAAATAAAGTAAAATCGTTTGTATGAAAATGGGAAGGAAATATGGCAGAGAAACTTTTGAATAAAACAGGGAGGCTGGAGACATATCTTGGTGGAACAATATTTTAACATATGTTAACAGTATTTACTTAATGATTTCACAGTTTATGTGCATTCATTGAATTTTCTTTATTTTATATATTATATATATATATATATATATATATATATATCTTCCCTTCAGTAATGAGTGAAGTAACTTACTCTAATGTGGTAATTCAACGTCCATCTCAGCCACCAACAAGGCAAGAAAATGAAACAACTAAAAGTAAAGTCCCATCAAATGTTAGAAATCAAGGTATGTGTGCTTTCTGCAATTTCTTATTTGAAATTGTTGTTAGTATTGGATATAGGAAATGATGCTTTATCATACTCATATACACACATGCATACATCTACACAATTTAAATATTTATCATTTGCTAAACAAATAAAATAAACATATTTGTGGTCAGATTAAGACTTCTTTCTTTGTTGTAAGTACTGAACCAATGTTTTTTTTTAATTTTTAATTGATGTATCATTGGTTTATAACATTAAGAAATTTCAAGCATATATCATGTACATGAACATCTGTACATAACACATTAAGTTCATCACTAAAACTCTAATTCTATTCCTCACTACACCACTAACAAATTTTTCTGGATTTATCCATTCTCCTCCCCCTTACCTTTCAGTAACCACTAAATTGATATAATGTAGAAGTTTATTTTTATTTAAATAAGCTCATTTGTTTTTTTTCTGTTTCTTTATACACCACATTTAAGTGAAACATATGGTATTTGTCTTTATCTTAGTTATTTCACTAAGCATAATAATCTCAATATTCATTCATGGTGTGGCAAATGGCAAGGTATCATCTTTGTTTATAGCCAAATAGCATTCCATTGTGTAGAGATACCATTTCTAAGTCTGTCAACTAGGACTTAGGTTGTTTACAACTCTAGCTTATTGTAAATAATGTTGCAACAAACATGGGGTATGTGTATCTCTTTAATTTAGTATTATTGTGTTCTTTACATAAATACCCTGAAATAGGATAACTTGATCATATGAGATATTTTTTTAGGAATCTCTATAGTATTTTCCATGAAGGTGCCAATTCATATTCCCGACTGTGTGCAAAGGTTCCCTTATCTCCATATTCTTTCTAACATGTTTTGCTTATTGTCTTTTGATAACATGAGAATCAAGTTTTACTGTTTATAAGGTAAAGGCAATATTTATTCCAGATTTGTAGCAATGTGTTCATGGTTGTAAGAGAAAAAAAATCTAGAAGAACAGTGTAGTTCCTTACAAATATCATCCATCATACTGAAAATGTTACATAATTAATATGTAAAATAAAGTGTTGCCAAAAAGAAAAGGAAAGAAAATAACATAGGACATTAATTGTGCCACCAAATTTTATGAATACATATTTTTTTCAAATCATACATATATATATGAGTGCATATATATATAATTAAAACTACTTGTTTTAAAGTTTCTTATTTTTATCTTTTAATAAATGCAGTTTTACTCTATAGTCCTCATTTACATATGACATCAAGGATACTTCTGTTCTCTCAATATTAGACTGTCTTTGGATTCAGTAACCCTTTTATCTTGGATCTTTATGTTACTACTTGTGAGTCATCCAATCTTTTGGCTTTCAATATCATCTATATACAAATTATTCAAAATTTATACCCACCTTGGATATTTGCCCAATCCCAAACTCACTAACTCCAAATCCTAATACAAATTACCTCTTATATGCTAACAGAAAACTTATATATATCCAAATGAACTTCTAATATTATCCCCTTAAATACTCTTTCATGCTTTTCCCCATATAGAGGCTGATATCATAAGGCTTATTCTTCTCTTTCTATAGATCTTTCTGCTCCATCCTCTTCATGGAAAACCATTGCCGTGATCCTGGGGATCATTTGCCTGATGCTTATTTTGTCTTTTGGAGTCTTAGTTACAAAGTGTAAGTCACAATGTAAAATGTAATCTGCTTTTCCACTACTCAAATAGAGAAATATTTTGAAAGCTAATTCATTTCTATTTGTTCAATATCTTACCAAGTATAATAATATCAAGTATTCTCAGCATAAATGAACATCATTATAGATATAGATTATTATCCATTTTTAAACCTCATGACCCTTACTTACTGCTTTACTATTTATTCTCATGTTTACTTTAAGAATGACTTTAAAATAATATTTTTGTGAAAACATCAGTTTTAGAGTAAAATGTCTGTAATCAATTGCTATATGAATGTTATAATTTGATATTTTATGTTTCTTACTCTACTACATGGAGTTCTATTACATTAAGCAAGTGATGCTTTATTATTCTTTTCTTTTGTATTTCAAATTTAGTGTAGTATCTTGCACACAGAAATGTGTGCTAATTTCTTTCTTTCTTTCTTTCTTTTTTTTAAAGAATTATTTATTTATTTATACAAGCACTGGGTACAGTCAGAAGACGGGAGGGAGAGAGAATTCACCAGAGCCAGAGCGGGGAATAGAGCAGGCAGACTGATGAAATGCACTGCTGAGGGGAGCAGCGGGGAGGCAGGAGAGGTCTGCATGCCATGCGGGACCCTCGCCAGGGGCAAGGATGGAACCGATGCTGCAGAGGCTGCGGGAAGCTTTGCAGCCCAGCGCTCAACTGTTGAGCCACCAGGGGAGACCGGTGCTAATTGTGCTAATTTCTTTCATCTATATTCTGATGCTATATCACTGAATCATATACAGTATTGGAAAGCAATGTTACCTCAATGAGTTTCTTTTTTAAATAGGAAATAATAATAATAATAATAATAAAAAAACCTGACCATACTGAAATCTCTTCAGGGTCTCATAAATTATTTCAAGAAGAATATACAGGAAATATCTCCTGCAACAATGAACCAAGTAAAACAGGTAATTTTGGAAGACTCATGACTTATAATTTTAAGGAGAGAATTAAATATGCAATGACTATTTTGCAAATGGTACCCTAATATTTAATTTCTTTATAAGACATCAACATTTATATAGAATGGTCATCTATTTATGATTTTATAGATGCATTTCTCATAATCTAGTTTTTGAAACTTTTTAAAAAAGAACAATAAATGCATGGATGTGCCCCTTTTACTTGGGGCACAAAGAACAATGCATTGACCTTTAAACAATGATTTATATTATATTAGATAACTACATTTCTAATTTGTTATTAAAAAAAGTTTCCTAATACCTATCTTATGAAATCTGAAGATTGAAATGTTTTCAGCAAAGTGAATCATTAAGTGAAGATAAACTGCACACTAAATTTAAGTGCATAAAGTCTAGATGTAAACTCTAAAGTGTTTTGTTTGCAGATTGCAGATTTGCTGTTTAGTTTTCCTGATGTCACTTGCACTGAAGGAAAGCATTCAGCAACATTTTATTGTTTTAGTGGTTTGGAAATGTCCTACTTGTCTAAACAACTGGAATCAGCATGGAGAAAATTGCTACTATTTTGTGAAAAAGACTCATCCTTGGAAAAAGTGTCAGTATCACTGCAAGGGTTTCAATTCAAGTTTTCTGAAATTGAATACTGAAGAAGAGCTGGTAAAAATACCTTTTTTCATAAAAGTTTTGTAAGAAATGTTTAGGAATGACACTGATCACCAGTGTTTAATTCTTTTAAACACATACTATGCTCCAGTTACATAAATAATTATAAGTAGTTAATTTGGATTATCCACTTCAGTTACATTTGGGAGCTTTTGCCAACACTTCGGATAAAGCACAATTAACATGCATATTCCCTTTTGTATTTTGATTCCTACCTGTTGCCTCTACTATAAAGAACTCACAAAATGGTTCTAAGCCAAGCAGCTGTAAGGAACTTCTTAAATTTATCATGTTCCCCATCTTCTTTCACATCATTGGTTCTTAAATTGTTTTATCTGCACGTGACACATCTTATCTGTCCTACCTCCCTCATTGAACATTCTCTTGGTTAATGTAGACTTCTTTATAAATTTTTTACTTATAAGAACATTTCCTTTAGAAAGCATTCTTGATTCACCAAGATCTGCTAACTCTTTCACTAATTCTCTCCTTGAATCCTGTATTTGCAAGCTTTGTGACATGTAAAGTTACTTACTACATAGGGTAATTGATTGCATTCAATTTTTCAGTGACTTGTTTTTGTTCTTACAGCTATAAAATATTTTGCTTACTTTTAGAACCCATAACCTAAGAAAACAACTGTAATATAATGTAAAGTAAAAAGAATAACTGCTCAGTGAATAGATGTGTCATTACCTATTGTCCTCCAGCTGCTGGCTAAAGAATCTAAAGTTAATCCTTCCCAGTTCTTTCCATATAATAGAGAAGAGATTCCAAACTGAAGTTTATAAGTGAAAGATATATAATTTTAAGTCATTTATTTCACTTCAGAGAAAGATCTACTTTCTGATTTATTTTCCTCTCACTACAGAATTTTGTGAAGAAATTCTCAAAGACACAATGTGATATGCAGAAAGAAAAGTTTTCCATCAGTCTATACTACAGCAGCAAACAACTGAAATGGCTATGGCAAGATGGCACTAATTTTACCCTAAACAAGTGAGTCTCTTGTTTTATATTTCAGCCCAAGAAATTATTATTATTTTTTTCTAAATATTCACTGTACATATAGAAAGGTGTTGGATTTATAACATAAACCCATAATAAATAAACAAGGGAAAAAACAGATGGAAAAGCGGGTACAGGAGAGTTACTTGGTTAAATATTTCAGTTTCATAACTCATTTAAATTTCCTTTCAGTTGTATGATTAAAGTATCATCAAAAGTGCATATGTTTTTTGAGTGCAGAAATTGAAAAGCAAGCTTTGGTAGAGTTGTTTCCATTGCAAAGCTCATTTCTTTTCAAGAAACAACTGAATTTTTCTAGGGGCAAAATTAACTGTTATTGAGGATGGATGATTTTCTTATACTGTACATACTGTATATTACAGCAAATTTATCAAAATGTTAATATTAGGGAGGTATTGCAAACTCACTGAAAATATGACATATTCTTAAATTGCATGAGGCCACAGAGACTATCAGGCTTGCTGGTAATCCTTGGCATCATTTAATTACATAACCCCAGCTTTGCATTGCATTGCTTTTTTTTTTTTTTTTTTTTTTTTTTGCTTATTTGTGTCTTCATTTCTTTCTTATACTCTCATTGGACTTGAAATACAAATAATATGATTTCATCTTGATTTTAGAGGGACAGTGTTCAACCCACCACATACTTCCTCAAAAAAAAATTCTTGGCTTCAACCCAGATTATTTTATTAAGCTAGTTGGATACGGAGATACAAAACCGCATTCTAAAAAAGAATTCCATAAAACTCCATTGTACACTATTTATCCACAATTAATTTTAAATTCAGTTTATCACCCTATCAGATTATGGATCCAGTAGTAGCTGAAGATTTTAAATAATACAATCTTTATGAATCCTCATAAAACAAATATCTCTTTATCAAGTGCCCATATATTTACTCCAGTGTACTCTATTGTTTAGTGAACAGATTTGTGAAATGTAGTAATAATTGTGCAACATAACACAATTGATTTTAAAAATTAGAAAATTTTTTGATCTTTATCAAGATCACATCTCTCCAATCTACCTTTCTAACGTAACATTCATTTCAAACACTTACTATACAATACACACATGTAAATTCCCAAACTATTTACAAAAAAAAGTGCAGTGGTCAAACTATAAATTTGATGAGACCATTCTAGGTGCAGCTTAGTATCTAATTCATTGTGTTCATCATTTACTGTTCACTTTATGTTTATTTTCTATATTTTGTTTTTTTTTTTTGGTTCATTTATGAAAAACACATCCATATGATTTTTATGTGATTCTCAATGAGATAAGGTAGATCACAATGTGTAAAACCCATTTTAGTAAGCTTCTTGGAAATATTTAAATACTAATACAATGGTTTCCCACCTTCAATTTCACGGTTTAATATAGTAAGCAATTAATAGCACAGACTCTCAAACTGACTGGATTGACTTCTTGGCTCTGCCATTTGTGTGATATTAATCTTGATTTTCATACATCCTGAATTTTAGTTCTGTAACATCATCTATATAATAAGGAGAATAAGAGAACCTACTTCATAGGCTGTGAAAGTCATTAAGTGATAAATTTCAGGATATTGAAAGGGTCTGGAACATAGAACAACTCACTTAAGGTGTTGCTTTAATGTTCCTAATGCAAATATTAACAATAAATTAACAATAATTAAAATAAAAAATCTTGAAATGCATTCACACAAAAACATGATTTATACTATGAAATCTTATGAACAAAATATGCTAAATTCCTTCCTTTATGCCCACACTTAACAGACTTGATTTCTTAACATCAGCTCTGCATTCAGATTTATCTAAGTAATTAAATATTCATCTCTAATTGTACTTTCATATAGTGATCAGATGCTCAGCTTCAGTAATTAGAGCACAGCATTGATGAGATGTTTACTGAAGTTTTCTGATTTTCATTGACATTTTCAAATGCTTGTCTAAATTTTACTGTATGAGGATTCTGATCTTCACAGTTTAAGGAGCAAGCTAAACTTTTCCAGGGCAGAATGGTTATTAATGATTAATAATTTTGCTGCATGGTATATATAGTAGAATGTGTTCATCAAAATATTGTATATAAAAGAAATCTGTAAACCCCAGTGAAAATGGACACTACTCTGAAATTGCATCTGGGACACAAATTATAGCAAGAATTTTAAGTACTTAAATTTCCAGATCTAATTTCCAGATATAATATTAAATATTGGATGATAATTAATATAGTCATTATTTATATAGCTGGAGACCTGGGAACATAATATTTCTGCTTTGTTGTAAGTATATAAAAATAGTATTGATCTTAAAATGAAATTGACATACAAAGCAAATTCATCTTTTAATGGAAATTATTTTCTCTTCCAGGCTTCAAATTCCAGAACATGTGAATGGTAATGACATATGCATATTTATAAAATATGGCCAGATCATTACTGAGGATTGCCAAACTGAGGGTTATTGTATCTGTAAGCAGGCAGCACATTCAGATTAGATAAAAATACAACAGAAAGAAAAGAAATAACCATTTGATATTTCCCAGTGAGTTGACTTCAACTATGTGAAATATTTATTTAATAAATACAGAAGTCACTAAACATGGCATCTAACAATATAAATATTATGAATAGCATGTTAGTTACATAGGAAATGATACAAAGAAAATTATGAGTGTTAAAGAACATTATGGACGGAACTTTAAATAAAATCTTACATTAATGAAACAGTTATTAAATAGATACTATTTTAAGATTATCAAATTTTTCAGTAATTTCAAAATGAATTTTGTTACAGTTTCATATTAATTTTGATATTTCAATACCAGTCTTTTCTGTGTCACTGTGGAATCTATGGAAGAATGAATGGTCAAGAATGAGAAGACAAAATACTGAATAAAAAGAATGCCTAGAAACATTATGTTTTGAAAAAGATGGAAAAAATGGTTTAAAATAGCTTTATAAAGTAGGAGGTATTAAAACGCCGCTAACTACAAAAAGTGCAGTGTTTGAATGTGGATAGTCTCCACAGGAGTTGAAAATTGAACAAAGTTTATTTCATTCACAAACCAGGATTTTTCCTGCCATTGGTCAGTCACTGAGCTTAACTACCCAAGACACACACTTGTGCAAAACAAAGTGTTTGCTTTCACATCCCAGGACTTCCAAACTAGAGGAAGCACAGACATTAATAAATAATCACACCAAGAATTATGTAATGCAAATAAAATAAGGCCTTGGAAAGGGAAAATTACAGTTATCAGATTATAAAAGAGATCTAATCTACATGGAGAAGTTAGTGGAGACCTTCCTGATATAGTACTATTTATGGAGAGTTCTTAGAAATGAATAATTTTATTAACAAAAGTAGACAGAGATCCAGAAGGTTAGATAATTTGGGGGAGAAAAACAAGCTGCAAGAGAAAAGGCCTTGTGGTGGAGTGAAGATGAGGGGGCTGGATCTCAGAGTTGGGGGGCAATAGGCTGATAAAACCCTGGAGAGGAAAGAAGGGCAAAGAAAACACTGAGCTAGAATGCTGTGAGGAGGACTTTAATTTTTCAGGTTATTCTCATTCCTTAAAGCCACCCAGACTGAACCAGGAGGGAATGAAGTGTCCTGCTCTGCCTCATTCACACTTACAAGCTGCAATGTGAACAGCAGCAGGTCTTATTACCCTTGGGAGGTAATAAGAAATCACACACGCACACACACACACACACACACATTTCTATATCCATACACACAAGTGGACATGTATATCCCTTCAGATTTGCTGCATCTGTATATGTGTATATAAAGGAAAGAAAAATCAGAATACCTGTATTTTTTTTCCTAATTTTAACTTTTGTTATAATTTCAGACATCCAAAGCAGGATAAAGTTTTATAAAAGATTGATCTGTGCTCTTGACCAGATTATTTGGTTAGAATTTTTAAAAATCATCATATTTGATATGTCCTTCTCTCAGTGTCTTTATCATAATATAGGGATACTTGCTTTTTGTTCACAAAATTTGGAAGGTTATTAATCAAAAGTATTTTCAAAATATTTTGGAGTTGATTTCCCTTCATGTTTATAAATATTTTAAACAGGCAACTTATAATTAACTTGTACTACTTTAAAATAATTTGAATATAAAATGTTTATATTGTACTTTAGGCTGATTTGGTGCTCTATGCTTAAGTGAGCACTATTTGCGATTTCTACTCCTAAATGGAGATTTTTATTTTCTCCCACATAGAGGTTAAATCTACTGCATGAAAGTCCAAAGTTTACCTCTCCCCACCACGGATTTTCAGGTAGCTCTCTTTATCACAAAACATAAACAAGAGAAAACAGCTTATTCACACAGATAATGCACAAAACACTAGGGAATTGAGAATGAATCAAAACAGCATCCTCTCTGCAGTATATTATAAAACATATTCAACCACTTTCTACAAATTGATAAGTAATTTTTAACTTCCAAGAGGGTTGAATGAAGTTAATATATACGGGGCAGGAAAGTTTGGAGTAAAACTAGTTTGTAGAGTCCTCTAGCGCCACCTCTCGTTGGATAAGAGTCTGTGTCAGTCAAAAAAATTTCTATCCTGCATTTAGTCAGAAAAGTGGGTGTAGAGACATTTCCTTGTTTCAATATTTACTGCTGCTTTTGTGTGTGTGTTTGTGTGATAAACTATCATAGGCTATTTTCACCCCAGCTTTACTGAGCTGTCGCTGAGGTATAATTGCAAATTTAAGGTAAACAACATGATGATTTGATACACTTGCAAAATGCAAAAATTTTACCACAATAAGGTTAACACATTCATTAGTTAACACACATACTCACCGCTGCTAATATTGTTTATAACTGTTTTTTCCACTAGCATGTCCTCATTTCCTTCAGCCCACGCACCTGACACCACCATGCTAATCTCTGTTCTCTGAGTTAGTCTTTTTAGATTGCACATATAAGTAAGATGAGACAGCATTTGTATTTTTATGACTGATTTATTTACCTCAGCATGAGGTCCTCCAAGTTCATCTGTGTTGTCACAAATTGGTGGTCTTTCCTACTCTTTTATCTGAATAGTATATCTCTGTACGTGTCTGAGTGAGAGAGTGTGTGTCTGTGTGTATACAACACATTCTGTTTATCCTTTCATCTGTTATTGGATACTTAGTTTATTTCCATGTCTTGGCTATAAAAATAATGATGCAATGCACCTGGGACAGAAGATAGTACTTGAGGCAGATCTCAAACTGCTACTTAATTAATTGTCTTCAGCTCAAAATAATATTTATGTCAAAGAGCCTCTTTTTGTATGACCTTTTGGTTTGTTTCATTAGTAACAGTCTGTTAGTATTTCTTGAACTGCAGACTTTTGCTATATGCTAGCTGTGTGTGCCCTGTGAGAGTCCCAGTTTTTGAAAGGTAATTTGTATTAAACCTTAAGGTTAGATAGCCTCTAGGCTTTGTCTGTGTTCCCAGTGCTCTGTGAAATTCATCGAAACAGAAACTAAGCTTTCTTGAGTTTATTATAAATCCTCAAAACGAAAGCCTGTTTCTTTGGTTGTTTTTCACTTGGGATTTCCATTTTCACTACATTATGAAAGTCTATACATTTTTACTTGAGACCTAATATCAAGCTATCTTCCCTTTTCTTAATTCAGAAACTGAAGTCTAGCCCAATTTAGATTGTTTTATTTTTAAAAACAGTGTGTGTGCCTGTTTTGCAAGCTTTGTGTGACAAATTTTTTAAATAAAAATTTAAAGTACATGTGACTAAATGTTATCATTTGTTATTTCTCCCTGGTATATTTTACAGCATCATTTAAAGATCAATTCAGACCGACCCTTTTATTTAACCCTGATTTTCTTCATGGCACTTTTTTTCTTTACCAATCACATTCTACAAAATTTTAACCCATATGAATATGTCATTTAAAAAACATTCCAATAGCAATTGCATTTAGAATAAAATCTAAAATCTTCAATTAGGTGTGCGAAGCCCTTCTTTTTTTTAATCTTTTCTCATCTTTCTCACTGTTCCTACACTCTGCGGCTGCTTCATCTTTCTGCTCTAATCAAACTGACCCTCTTCAGATTCACAGATTTTTGCAAGTTTTAACTCCATTTACCTTGAATCTGTACCCAAACCTTTTGCCCAGATGACTTCTACTTATTCTATAGATTTTGAACTCTGTGACCAGTTATTTCCTAGAACTCTTTAGGCTCCCCACAGGTTCAATTCTTTATTTTCTAGGTTTCATGGCAGTATGTGCTATATTCTTATTGCAAAACAATCCAATTTCTGCCAAACATCAACTGGTGTTTTCATATATTTGGAGTTTGTTGGTTGATTTTCAACTTATTTTGAAATTCTGAAATATAACAAAATAAATTAATCTTCATATGGCCTTCATCCCATTTTAAGTATATTTAATATTCAAATATTTTGAGTTTGAAAAGTTCTCAAATGGTAACAGTCTAATATTTGTAACTATTTAATAAAATCACCATTCAAAATATAGTTCAATCTCTTGAGTATCATCACAAACATGAAATTAAAAATGAATCATTGCTGAAAATTTTTAAAGGTTATATAAACCTTTGTTATTGAAGATCAGTTTTAATGTTTGGACTTTATTCCTTGCACTATTTGTGTGTTTGTGTGTGTAGGTGTGTGACATGTTCAATGGATATTGGTGGAATTTCTTCCAGAAGTTTTCTTCATGGAAAATATGTTTTTTATGTCTTTGAATCCTTTTTGTTTTATAAATGATAAGTTTTTAATACTGTCTTCTGCATGCAGATGTATGTGTTTGAAATTAAACAGTTTTCTGAGTCATAAACTAGAGCTATAAACTGCACAGCTTCTGTTCTGCATTTCAACTAAATTAATCTAGATTAGAAAGGACAAATCACGCTATCATTTTATTAGTTCGGAAATATAAAAATGAAATAATATTTGTCTGATTATAAGTACTGAAAGAGTATAATTTCAGAACAATGTCAGTGTTTAGATTTTTAATAAATACAAGGCTATAGTCAATTTTCATTTCTTCCCTCAATGGGGGAAAATTCATTCTGTTCTCAAGCATACTTGCCACTGAGACAACACATATAATGTCTGTGATTTCTGTGCTTTATTATTTTTAATGTGGAAAGACTCCAGATGGTATATATAAATCTTAACTCCTCTCTCATGTTCAGTTTCATATCCTAGTGTCCAGTTTCATATCCATATCCTATCCATCTGTTTCTCTGGCTTGTGTCTTCAGGACAATGGAATTTTGAGTCACACAAGAAGCTTGACTCTCACAAAAGCTTTTGCTCTCATTAAACTATTGGTGGTAGTTATTTCTATAATCGCTATATTTTTATAAAAGGTTTCTGTATTCAGTTTTTAGGACTTGAGCCTCAATAACTTTCAAGAGAGGGAGAATATTTTAACATATTTCTGAACATGAAGGCAGATTTGTCCAGACAGGTTAAATTACTTTTAAAATGTTAGCTATAAAACTCCAGATAAGTAAACCATAATGGATAGTAATATCCTCAATCACACACACACACACACACACACACCAAGCATATTTTCTGCATTCTATTCCAAAAATTAAAAAATTAAAATTAAAAGGCTTCAGTGAATTATAAATAAGAATTAATAATTTTCTTATATACTCTTTTGTTATGTTTTTGATACATGTCTATATTCAAGCTTCTAGGTATATATTTGAAATATAGAATATATTTCC